CCTACACTCCCAGAGCTCGTTCCTGCAGTACAGAAATACCACAGGATTCAGGATCAGCTCAGACTTCCCATTATAAAAACAAATAGAAATAAAAACTTACTTTAAAACACCTTGATAAACTAATAATGGCACAGAAACTGGACCAAAATAGGCATAGGAACAGTCAACTACTTTACTGATGGACACCGGAGCAGTGCAAGTACACCGATGTGAACGCTCCAGACCGCCCACGCTCACCTGCATTAATCCCTGCAGCGGCAGGGCAGAGGAGCAGTGGCACCACATTGCTAATCTATGCCAAAGCAAAAGATCCTCTAGCATCTGCCAGCGTGCAGAAAACCGTCACAGGGAATAGATGCCAGTGAATCTATGACAGCTCCTGAACGTCTTACATTGAAGGCCTCGTGCTGCCAGCTCTTCTCCTTCCTCCCTGTCTCTTCAGGTCACCCCTACACCAAGTGTCCTTGACCCCCGATCCCGCTGCCAGCGCCTGGGCAATCCTGGGGTTTGAGAGGGGACCGGGAGGAAAAGCGAGAGGCGCTACGAGAGCAGAAGGGAGCTGTGAGCACGCAGTCAGGGAAACCGCGGTCCAGGACCGAGGAGGTTAGCTGGGGCTGATCGTAACCTGTGCTACTTCTCGACCAGCGGGACGGGGGAACGCAGCCTACCGGATTCACTGGTCACTAGACAAGAACCAACAGCAGCCCCTGGAGTTATTTTCTAATGAACCCCTCACTAGAGCTTCCTTCAGCAACCAAGAAATGTTAGACACTTTGACCTACAGTGACTCACAACCATTCAATTCCTCGCCTGGCCCAACTCGGAGAAAAATCTAGAAGCACCTTAAAGGAAGGGCTAGCTGCCTAGCAAAAGGTTAAAATTTTTCAATACCAAGGTTGTAGAGGAACTTCCTTTGAAGTGGTGCTGCTGGCAACTATTTATTTTGACCTTTGCCAACTTCCTCAAAACACTGGATTGCTCAATGACCGTCACAAACAATTCTGCAGCACAGCCTATACGGTCATTGCTAAGATACTAAAGACACTGAGCTACAGGGGGGGGCGGAAAAATCCCTTCCCAAGATCCTCTAATAGAATCTAATTAAAGCAGAATTTCAACTGGAAAAAAGTAACTCCGTCTCAGCACACCGTGCATTTATCTGAAGTGCAGTTCATAGACCAAGTGACTGGTTGCTAAAGCAGAAGCTTTTATTTAGATACAATGCTACAACGAACGTTTTTTGTGAATTGAATCCAGCAGTACTTATTTTCACATCAGATGAAAATGAAGACACACTGAATGCCTACAGAAAGCCAGAGGAACGCTACAGGCCAAACACCAGACAGCGGCACTCAACCTCCCCACCAGCAACACAACACTTAAGAGCTCTCCTGGAGGACTGCAAAGATTTCCAATTTCCCTATGCTTAACATTCATTCTGGAAACATGTGACCTTGTAAAGATAATCCGTGAAGGCGGGGGGGAAGTCACATAGCATTTGACACCACTTTTTATACAAGAAAGGAATAAAAATTGCTAGAGGTTTCAAGATCTTAAATTTAATACATGCATTAACATTTCACTCAGTCAATATCCTTTATTCCCTATTGCTATGAAAGAATAAGTTATTGCTGTTTCACTTTAAATAAAACGGCACTATGATAAAGGTAACTCACACATCTCACTTAAGACTGATTATTTTGGCAAAGACTTTAAATTGCTTAAAATATGACAAGTAATGCAACTATTCCAAAAAAATAAATGTTGGCAGAACCAGGGCCAATCTTAAGAACACAGCAAACACGACTGCCACACGCAGCAGGTTTTAAGAGTCACCCATTCGAAGAACCTTACATATAAATATTAGAAAAGCAGCGATTTTGAGTAATACCCTATGTGACAGAAACAGGGAGAGAAAGTACACAATCAATTCCTATCTCTTTCCAAAGTAAAGCACCTAGGAAAACTTAAGGTGAAAAAGTAAATCCAAGCTGAGTCTGGCTTACACATCATGAGGCTCATACTGCACGTTAAGATAGCTGAAGCAGGAGGTGGGGGACAGAAATCAAGAATCTTACTAAAATTCATTCACCAACACGTCACCAGGCATTAAAAAATTAATGCAAAAGTTTGTAGAAACCAATTATGTGAAGAATACTGAGAAAAAGTACGGTCAAGCAAAGCATGCAAGACAGCAGTTAAATCACAACAATGGGTCTAAAAATGCTCCTGTTTCTAAAAGCAGTTCAGAGTTTCATTAGAATGTATTCAGAGAATTCGTACCAAAAAAAATTCCTAGTCTGAAAGTATTAACACATATGACAAGCAAAATGCACAGCTGCAAAAAGGAGATGTTTGAAGATCAAAAGGCTCACACTGAAGTTTGTACCAAAAACACATGAAGAATCCGTTCAGGGAAGACAGCTCCAGCAGTCACCCAGGGCCAAGATAAATTAAGAAAAAAAATTTGGATATAATAGCTAACTAGGCAAGCCTACATCCCTTTTGCCAGGCTCTTCCAGGGCTTCCTAAAAATCTAAAGCCAACTCTCAAATTGTCAGCATCGGTGGAGACTCCTGGACCTAGACATGAAGGTGTTTAGTATCCGTTCATTATCCCTTTCCCTAAGTAGGAGAGAGTAACAGGACTTTCATATTCCATCATTTCACTTATGCTAATTTCAAAATTTATATTCACTGCCAGAAGATTTCAGAGAGTTATTCTTTGACAAGGGACTTAAGGCCTTCCAGAAAACAGGTCACTGGACTTGGAAAATGAGACAACCTTTCCAGGAGCAACGCACCGGTACTCCTATCAACACGCACACCATGCTCCTACACTTGCCCTTCCAACTCCTTACCCTTCTCTTACTAAAGAATGAAAATCCCTGCTAGGTGTTGTAAGCTTTTCAACTCGATGTACACCACTCCACCTAAGGGGCCAGTCGTACTTCACTGTCACTAAACCACAGACCAGTGCTGCTTCCCACCTTTCCGCTGACAAGCCCTGCAACAAGAAATCCGCATCCCACTACTAAGCCAATACATCCACACAGGACAGAAATGTATCCTGCTGACTTCCCCCGCTATGACAGTACAGGCAGGCAGTACAGAAATTAATCCTACCGACTCCCAAGGGATCTGTACCTCTTCCCTTGGACAGCACAAAGGAAAGGGCTAAAGGTTTCGCTCTAGCCCCTTCAGTGCAACCAGGGCTCCCCGGTTAAGAATCACAGAGCTATCAGGTTGTTGAAATTAGTCCTTCTGCCTTTAATTATAGCAATGAGAATAAATTCAGTATGAATGATGGCAGATACTTTCACTGGGTATCACCAACTCCAGGAAACACGGGAAAATCTGGATGAGCATTTGGTTTAACGCCTCCCTGCTTCCAAGATGTGATTTTGCTTAACGCAGCTTTCTGGAAAGACTCAAGAAAGCCAGTATCATTAAACCTTTAACCTTTTCTTTGTATTTTTGGACCGAGTCTCCTTAAGACTTTCCCAAACAAACGCTTCTTTTAAAAAAATGGTCATTATTTAACCACCAATATTTCTGCAGGCCTGCAGCAGCATCTCCCTTTTGGCTACAACGATGATGCTCTGCAGTTATGAAGTGTCCTTACCTTTGCAACTCTTCATTTTTGTGGAAAAGAGATGATAGTCGTGCGCTCAGCTGTTTGTGGCAGTGACAAGGACAGCCAGCCACGCCACAGCCCCCGTCCCAAAAGCTTAGCTAGGTCACAGCGATAAACCTAACTCCACACGAGTCAGGACTTCTGCCTTTGCCATCATCCTCTCGCTAAGCGCATGCACCTATGCTACTTCCACTCGGTTCTGCCTTATCTTACCGCAGAAGCACTCGCGCTTGTAAAGCTGCGCCCTCCTCTGCTACTAGGTGTATCGCAGGGAGCAGCTGCGCAGAGCAGCTCGAGCCCAGACTCTGCTCCAGAAATCCCAATACCAGACTTGTGCCAGCCCTCCATCCCTTCGGCTAACCAGCTCAGGCGGGAGGCCCCCAGTTAAGAGTATTCTTTCCTCAGCTCATCTCGGCCAGTTTTTCAACTGCGCAAAGAGCACTGCCTTCCTTTTTATTCCCCAGCATTTTTCAGCTGCTGCAATTCGAGTTACATTTGAAGAGTACATAAGGCAACCTACGTTGCCTGGGAAGCACGCCAAATCATCGAGAGCACCATCAGGATGAGCAAGCCATTATTAATTATTATTAATTAATATTAAATTAAGCAGGCGGGGGTACGCCTTCTTTACCCTTTGCAGGAGGACACGGGGAACTAAGCAGGCATCACCCAGCTCCGAACCAGGTGCCTTCATCCAGGCTCCAAGCCACATTAACAGCCACGCTGCTCCCCGTTTGCCAGCGGCAACCAAGAGCACAGGAGGAGTTTGTCTGCATCTCCCTAAGACCATGTAGATACCTCCTAAAGAAACGTGTGAATCTTCAGTTTGAAAATACCAATCTTTAAAAAGATGAGGGGGACAAGACTTAACTACTAAAGACTTTCTACTCTGCTGCAGTTTCCAGCGAGCAACACGGAACTACCAGCAATTCTCATCCCCTGGTCAGTCATCAGGCCAGGCACAGACCTGTCTGCTACGTACTTTAAGCTACTGCAAAGACAACAAACGTTTATATTGATATTATACACCGATACATACGATGTGCAGTTTATATATGCCAATTAAAATACATAAAATTCAGTATCTCCACTTTATGTTTAGCATCTTTAATTAGCTGCTGATTACAGCACTTTATTACCAAGAGGAAGTACAATACTGTGTTTAGATTTTTGAGTTACTCAAAGAAATGCTGCAGTGGAGCAACATACGAAATATTTTAAGTAAGGCTAGCTGAAGGTAGACCGCAGCATCCCACGTTACATACAATTATATAAATCCCTTTCCCCAAGAACCCCAAGGTATTGTGCAGCACCTTACAATAAGCCCAAAAGTGTTACCATCACATATTTTTGCATGTGCCAGACTGACAATATTTTTTTTAAAAAGTCTTTTTTTTTTTTTTTTTAAAGTATTTCACAGTACACATTGAATTAGCTTAATACCTACACTCTGCATTTCCCTGAGGAAAATCTGTATTAAAGGTACAGGTATCTTGATGACCCAAATTACCATCTCAACTATTCTTATCGTATGAAAAAAGTAAAAATAACGGCAAGCCTTACACAAACACTACTGCATATATTACATGCTCTCTACTCTTTCTTCTCTTCCTGAGAAGAGAAAGAAATGGGAACTTCCAGAATATAGGAAGTAATCCTCATACTATTCTACATCTAAAAAGAAGTCTCCAATAATTGGGGCTGAAATTGTGTATGTGGTTTTCAAGCCAGTTATATAGCATTCCATGGACTCAGTCTCCCGCTTGCTCAAAAAAAGTTAATGGCATTGTAATATCTTAAGAAAAAATCAAGCTGACTTAGTCAATGACATATGCAGGAGAGGCAGCTGGTGATTCAGCCTGTTATCACGCTTCCTGACAAGCCAAAACGCTAATTTAGGGCTCAAAAGTGATTTCACTATAAGCTTCATCTCTATCTTTTACACTATAAATTCATATAACTGATTTCTGCTGAAGTCTGAGGAAAATATCCTAATTTACTCTCATATTCCTGATTTTTCTT